TGTAGCTTTTTTTCCCCAAAACTTTGTCGTCAAAATAAGGGTACGTCTTGTATTCCGAAAAATACGGTAGTTCTTTCCTACTTCCAAAGAACTTCACATCTTGTAGAGTGTAGACCATAACCCTCGTCGCCAGGGTGCACATACTCATCACCCCGTTGAACTGCCTTTGAATTCTCAGTTCACATACTTTCCCTATACTGACACAATGTCTGTATTACTTGACTCTCTTCTTGTTCTAGTCTTTGAACCCCATTATGAGGAAGATCAACTTTCACCTACTAAATCAACAACAGGAGTATCCATAACGAGAATTAATGTTTTCTCAAAAAATAGAGTACTGAACTTTATGCCTCTAGACAACATGACTTAGTACCATTTGCAAAACCTACTTCATAAATCAAGCCTATTTTCCTATTACTCCCAAACAGCTTTCTTGAAACAAATACAGCACTTCTACTTGTATTCCCAAAATCACTTGGACCCTTAAACACAACCTGTAACTTCTTTACTAAGAACATTTACTCTTACACAACTAGTGACCAGAGGTAAATTAATTAATGAAACCTGTTCTATATTTCTACTATGAGAAAAATTTAAAGATGATTTTTGAAAATTTTCGTTATTAAACAGAGTCTCTGTTTCTTCTTCAAAAGATGCTCTGAAGCCATGTGACCGTTCCTTTTAGTATAAAAGCACGTGCGATTTTCTCTAATACTTATAATTGAGCTTGTTGACTTTCCTGAGTGTAAGGGTCCAAAACTATTTTATCAACAATTTTATGAATCAACTCCTATGTTTCAACAATGCCTGCAGTTGTTGAAATTTAGTGTTCAACAAAACTGATCTTTCCAGACCACTTCATGCATGTGTTAACGTGTATTTCCTTCTTACTTTCCACCCACCTCAATATTTATTCTGTACTTTTTCTGTGCTTAATATTCTTTTTGTTCTGCTTTTTAAATTTATTCAGGTATGCCTCCGCACTCCATTTATACCATTTTAAAACATCATCTTTCATAACATCATAAACAGCACTACTTTCAATTGATAGACAAGAATAAGGCAGAAACAACGTCACAGTTTTACTCGTCTTTTTTCAATTTATAAAAGTTAGCAATATTCTTAGGAAGTATTTTTTTAATTCTAGTACCTGGTAAAAGTGAAACTTGCCAATTGCTGTGTTGGAATTCACAATTAATGAGAAAGCAAATGTACAATGCTTATGTTGTTTTGTCCATTTAATGATTGCTTAGTTTACTTTCTTAATAATTACTGTGAATCAGCTGTTAGTTCAACGATTACAAAATGTATTATACATAAATTATATTCAAAATGAAGTCTATAGCAATATCATTGAAATTCGATTTTCTCCTCAAAGGTTTGTACATTTAACATATTAAACATTAAGCATCAACGAGAGTAGTATATTCCTTCAAAATTTTACAATGTATCTCAAAGTTCAGAAGACCGTTGATGAAATTAGCTTTGAGTATAACTGAACAGAATTTCCGCAGCATGTATGCGTCTATGTAAGTAACCTTAATAAATATTCTATATATCAAAGTTTGTTTTCGAATATTTCAATTAGATAATATAATAACTGTTGATAGATAACGTTGGTTCAGATGTGGTAAATGGTTTGAAATTACTTGCTTATCGTTAATATATCATTTCATCTATTTCACACCAGAAATTCAAAGCCAAATTATCTAGAAAGTAGTTTGTATAATCCGCTTTCATACTTTGCTTCAACTTTTATAAGAGCGACTATTTACCGTAAATTTCGTGAAAGGTTTTGGAACAAGAGCTAGTGTTAGATGTATGTAGTGTATTATAGCAAGAAGTAATCTTAGATTTGTATAGCATCTTCAAACAAGTTTATGTTACATAAGGACAGTGGCTTGAAACACTAACTTATCATGATTTGAAGTGGACAACTTATAGTTGTTTTGGTCGGTTACTTGAAGTTACGGTTTTCATTATCATTAAATGGGAAGTTCAAGCTCGACCTACTTTTATGTTGGGCTAATTACACACTGTTACTTTGACCTCAATATTTACAACTGCAACTTTCCTTTATTTTTGTACTATGATAAAAAGCTCAAACAACTGCTACTTTTCGGTTGCTGTTTTAAGATGCATGAGATTTAAACTTACCGTTAGCGTTGGCACCTGTGTGGTCAGTTCGTGGTCCACCTAGCCAGTTGGACGTAGACCCCCGACCAGTTTTCCACAGAAGGTTTGAGGGTACGTTGGGAGGGTTGGACCAAGTGCAGAGCTTTAATAATCTACCTTCACCGAAGTCACAAAATTCTGGAAGACCACTTGGCTCTGATAGATGATAAAATGTAAAAAACAAGAAAAACAAACATGAGAAGGTATTTTGTGAAACTAGTTTATGTTTCAACAATTATTTTCCCTTTTACGTAATTTACAGTCTAACAAGATTTCTTTTTTTTTCCTTTTTGTTAGTTTTCTTCGAAAGGAATACTGTTTGCAGCTTGGTTTGAGCAAGTTGTGTTAATAGTGTATAATATATAGGAAATTGCGTGAGACAGAAGAACTCGTTCAAGCCATCTTCACTTGAAATACTGTTTATCCTGAATCCTCAGGAATTGAACATATCTGCTTATTTGAAATTCTTATAAGGTCTGTATTAATACTACGATTACAAAATTTATTGAAACATCACAAAGTTAGTAAATGCATTAATTTATATATCTACTAAAGCTTGTTTAATATAATCACTATTTTCACCAGTGTTTTTGTTTGGCTTATTTGGAATTTCGCGCAAAGCTACATGAGGGCTATCTGCTCTAGCCGTCTCTAATTTAGTAGTGAAAGACTAGAGGGAAGGCAGCTAGTCATCACCACCAACCGCCAACTCTTGGGCTACTCTTCTACTAACGAATAGTGGGATTGATACTTAACGCCGAGCCACTGGGGAACTAGTTTCCAATAAATCAAAGTTGCTTTGTGAAATTGAGTTGTGCGAGTGTGAGTAAAAAAAAAAACTACAAGTGTGGTAGCCATGACTATCATAACTGCTAGCCGTCTTATAAATTTATTTCTATAATATTCAAATGCATGTACTATTTTCAAACTTTAGTTCTTTGTAACAGTTTAGTCTTGACCATTGTGAACCTATAGGGGAAACCGGGGCAAAGTGAAATTTGCCAGGTACATCCTACTAGATGATGTTATCTTATTTGTCATTTTTTTTCCAGTAGCCCATATGACCTGGCATTATTTGGAATGGTGGCCATTTGAACTGAGCAGGTATGTACATTTCTATGAAGAAAAATTGAAATTTCATGTGCCATTTGCAAAGTACTGTGATGTTGGAGATTTTCGAAGCAAGTTATACTGATTCATCTACACTTCCTCCCTGCCATATGCATGGTGATATTATTAAGGTTTGGCCTAGTCTGTACTAGTGCATAGTATATTGCCAAAAGCATGTAGTCGGGGCAAAGTGGAACGTCATTCCATTTTGTCTTTGGCTTTGAGGGATTAAACGATTTTTTTTTCACATTTTTGGATCAATTAAGGACGCTATATATATCTTAAAATGATAATTGTCACAATGTAAGCCAAAATGGTCCGCAACTATAAACGTAAAACTGATCAACATAGATAGTCGGAAGAATAAATGAGGGAGGCTATACAGCAAGTTCGAAACAAAGAAATTAGTCTTGACCTAGCTGCAAGAAGTTATGGTGTGCCAAAGACGACCTTATTTCGAAGAGTGATAATAGAAGGAGATGCTGAAGAGCTTTCAAAAAAGAAGCTAAGACGTTTAAGGTGAGTTATGTGTAATTACACAGGTTCAAAGTACATGTAACATATAATAATAACGTTGACATTCAAAATGGACCACATCTGTCAACTGGGACCAAACCATTTTGCTCATTGCATATGCCCACAACGGGAGCAGCAACAATATTGTAGAAAATTAAAATAGTTTGTCTAACTATATATGATTAAAATTTAGTAAACATTAATTGACCCCAAACTTCAGTCCAGATATAGGACTGAAGCAAAACAGCTGTCAGGCTTCAAGAATACGGGCATATGTCCTTTCAACCCCCCCCCCCTTCCTATTTCCAGACCATATGTTTGCCAGGGGAAGTTATGTCTGATCTGGAGAATGATACCCCTAACATGGAAAAATCCAAAACGCACTGAATCGAATGCAGATGAAGTGACCATGGTTGATGTTTGATGCTACAGGACAGTGTCCATTAGCATCGTCAGATGAAGCAATCCCAGGTCCAATGACTGTCACACCAGCTGCCAAAGGAAAGGATGCTTCTGGATACGTGTTGCCAGCAGACATTATGGGCATATGCCATGTTAAGCAAAGTAAACCTAGACGATGCAGCGCGAAAAGAAGTAAGACGGTCATTTTGATTGGCATTCTTTACCTGAAGGAATTACAAGTGAAAAAAAACAATACTGGCAAGAAAAGGAAAGAATCAGCGAAGGTCCAGTTATTTGATGAAGAGGCAAGACATGGAAAGGGCAAGGCAAATCAGAAGGGAAGGCAAAGGAAAGGCAACAAGAAAAGGCCACAATTTAATTCATCGTATTTTTTTGCCGAAACCAGGCAGTTGATACATAGTTGAATAGAGTTGTTTAAACATTTGTTTAACAACAAGTAAAAGCTTGGAATGGTTAATTATTTCACTGGAGGTGTGTCTGTGGGCCAGACTAGTTTCGGAGAATTCCACATCAGTGACCCTGGACACGACCACCGAATGAAACTTCAGACCAAACTCTGTTGAACTATGTATCAGCTGCCTAGTGTCGACTAAAAATACGAAGAATTAAATTATGACGGAATGCTACAAGTTCTTCAAATACCTATAGAATGATAAGTTTCTTTTTGTGAATGTAAAACACCATTTCAATTTTCGATACCTCACTGCTATAAAGGCTTGGAGACACTATGATGTAACAATACTCACATAGCGAGAAAAACTTAGATGTTTCGAGAAAGACAACGTCAACAATACTACAACTGAACTATACACACAACGTGCGACTGTTACCGAGTTACGGAACCAAATTTGATATAACTATTGCCTTTAAAATAATTAACTTTAACACTCTTGTTATAAAAACTAAATAATCTTTCAATATTAGATCACTAAATGATAACTCAGTCTTGTATATCTAACACATTTCATCTCCAACATTCGACTATTCCTAATAATTTGATTCTTTACTTAAGAAGGTTGTGACTTATTCGCATGTAACTGTACATAAGAAGGATGTGATTTATTTGCATGTAACTCTTTACTTAAGAAGGTTGTGATTTATTCGCATGTAACTCTGTACATAAGAAGGTTGTGATTTATTCGAATGTAACTTTGTACTTAAAAATACTAGAAAAGTAGTGCATGTGAACTATATCAGCTTATACTTATGGTGTTAAGTCGAGAAATTCCGTCCTAAAATTATTGAAACAATAACTGTTAGAATGTCTCTGGAAATACCTGAGTTATAAATGTACAGCACTACGATCATTCTGATTTCACATAGTTGCTGGAAAAATGTTTTTTAACAAGGGAAAATAAACTTATCAAGAATATTTAAGAAAGTGTACTTGGTTGAGCTGAATTTTACGTTATTATTAGATATTCTCATATTAGTGAAAATAACTTACTCAAGTGTTCGGAAACTAGGACTGATATCTTAAATTCAAATCGTTTTACTATAAACTATATGTTTTTGCATGAGACTTACCAGGAATGAAATCGTTCTCCATGTCTAGTTGCTGTCTTCTGTTCCTGTCCTGAAGGAAAACAGAATAATGACAGAAACTTCAAGAAGGTTTCACATATTTTACGTCAAAAAAAAAAAACAACAACAAAAAAACAAATTCAAACTCTGTAGCTAATAAGCTCTGAATTAATTAAACTTAAATATTTACATTACAGCAACGAACATTAATGAAAAGAAATGCTTATAAATGCATAAAATAATGGACAATGATTGATGTTATACTACAAAAACTAACTAATAAAGCGAAATGAACAAATTTATTTAAGTGTCATTCAAACATACAGAATTTTGTTTAGTCTTTAGTCTAAAGAGCCCCTAAGTGGCATTGCGGTATGTCTACAGACTTACAACGCTGGAAACCGAGTTTCAATACCCGTGGTGGGCAGAGCACAGATAACGCATTGTGTAGCTTTGTGCTTAATTATAAACAAACAAGTAACAAACATAGTCGAAAGAGGTTATAATATCATTGTATATATCATTGGTTAAGCCACATTTGGAGTATTGTGTTCAGTCTTGCGGTCCTTACCACAGAAAGGACATTGATTTATTGGAAAGGGTTCAGAGAAGGGCTATTAAGATACCTTAGATGTAAAGGTTATCATACTTGTTTTCTCTTGAAAAAAGAAGAGTTAGAGGGGATCTAACTGAGATCTTTAAGATTGTTAAGGGAATTGAAAGTGTTGATGCCTCATCATTTTTTTCATATTTAATGGTGATAATTGTAAGAGTAGGAGACAAAAAAAATCTTTGCTGAGACAGCTTTATTTTTCTAACTGGGTGGTAGGCGTTTGGAACGAGTTATCTTTGGATGTGAGTGATACAGTTAATTTAAGGAAGTTTAAGGGAAGCTTGATAACTAATAAATGATAAGTATGAGGGTTTTTCAAGTTTGTGTTTTTTTAGTAAATAGGACAGCTCAGATGGACAAAAAGGTCTCTTGTTGTCCCTTAATATTATGTTATATTCTTTGTTTGTCGTATACTTTCTAAAAACACAATCCACAATATATGTTGTAGGCTCCCATTCCTTATTTATACGTTCTGTCATTTGATCGGTTGTAAAATTGATGACGGACATAAACACGTTTTTTATTTTACGTGCTAGGACAGATGATGAATATAACCCGTGTGGTTATTTTTCACGTAATGGTTGGTTAAATATATAAATGTGTGTGTGTGTGTGAAGGTTTTCATTACAGAAGCGCATATAAATATATTTAAGTAGCATCCGTTTATTAAGGACTTTCAAGAAATGTGTTGAGTTCTAGTGTAAAAATGCTAAAATATTTTTTTGGAAGTCATACCATTTTGTTATTATTTAGGTCCGTGTGAGTTTATGTATGATAGACTTCTTAACAAACAACAAAAACAATTAAGCAGTCAGCAACTTTTCTTACTCCAAATCCTATGTTAATCCAAATTCAGAGTCAATAAGATAAAGAAAATGATTACAAACTCCTTTCTACAGCGAATAATAATAGAGACGATTTTATGATAACGTAGCAACATACCAATTTGTCATCATCGCCCGGGGCATGGTAGTCGACAATCAAAGCTCCGTGAGCAGTTGCGACGAAGAAAACAAAACAAGTAGATAACATGGCAACCTGAAGGGTACAATATAACATTATTAATGGCTGTACGTACACACAGGTGTAAAATAACATCGTGCTTGTGCAGCTAAATCACAGGTTAGTAAATTATATGAGTGAAAATAATCATAGAAACCTACGTGTGATACATGTACAAAAGTTACTGACAATGATGATTTGCGAATAAATTGTCAATTTAACATGAGTGCGACACATTATTACAGAAAAAAGGAATACGTTGAACAATACAGTAATAATTTATATTTACTTTGAACAGAGTGGTATACCTTGTTTTTACACTACTATAATGTTACTGGTTCATCAGAGGACGAGTTAGATTCTTAGAAATAGGGTACAAAATTTTGACGGAAAGAAGGGATCGTTGGCTATTTGTAGAATTGCTATAAGAAGTACACAATAAAAAGTACACAAACAAGTAAAGTGATACTAGTAGGGATTGAAAATCGTTTTAAAATCTATTCAAATAGTATCACTTTACATGTTTGTGTACTTTTTATTGTAGCATTTGTTTTGTTTTGGATACTTCTTATAGCAATTCTACATATAACCAACGATCCCTACTTTCCATTAGTTTTTTTCACACTTATTTGTTCAGCTTTTATATGTCCATGGAATGGACGCAACATCCATAAACTTTCAGCATAGCCATATCCCTGATAGCTATAACTTTTACAAGAATTAGAACCATAATCACAAATTTATCAAATTTAATCCTTTATCATTTTGCGATTATGGTTTTAATTCTTCTTCTATTACTTTTTCTAACAGTATCCTTATTTCATTTTAAAATTCATAATTTTTTTAATACTCTTCTTTGTTTACTTTTTATGTTATACCTGTATAAAGTATATACTTTATTTTTAGAAACTGTTGCCTGTCTATGTGATCACTAATACTGTAACAGCCATAAAGTATGACTAATTTGAAAAATATTGCTGTGGTTGAATTAACACTAATACACTTTGTATTAATTATAGAAATAAATTATGTTTATTTTTATTCCTATTATTTTATATAGTCACCGTTCTTGAAAATGGTGTAAGTTATTGGCTACGTATTTTTAAAACAACAATAGTTTAACGAAAGTTTTTTTGTTTGTTTTTTTCATCTAATAATTCGGTATCGTGCTGTTGGAAATTGTCAATTTATATATGTTGAGCCATCTGTTGGGTTGAATTTGGCTTAAAAGATATTTAAGTACGTGCATGATATGCTTATCATTTATAAAAAAAAAAAAATCTGTGTATATTTATCGGAATATGAAAAGCGGATACCCACAGACCAGTCAAGTAAGCTGGAGAAATCTTGTAGCAATAATCCGAGTGATCAGATAGGTAGGTAGTAGATGAAAAAGTTGCTGTTTTATAAATCTTTGAATTATTATACCGGAAATGTTAGCGACCTTTTTTAGCGTATTATTATTATTATATATGCGCGTGACATGTCGTAACCAATACAGTGAATGGTCGGTTTTTTGCTTAGGCATTCAACAGGGTATTTTTTCGGCGCGTGAATTATTGGAATCCTTGTGGATCCCTACTATTAAGTACTACCATACTTAATAATAATAATATCACTATAGAGAGCAGTAGTTTGACATGATGCCACCAGAAGTCTGGGAATTCCATAGAAGGCCTCATGTTATGCGTGATAATAGCTTCCTATGAGCTCATTAAGGTGTAATAATATAATGGCGTAGATAACGTCATTTTAATTGTAAAGTTGTGAGTTGATCTTTTAGTGTTTAATATTGGTTCTTGTTCTAAATGGTATATTGATTTGTACCTTGCTCAGGTTCTTTAAGGGTCGGTAAAACGTTTGTCAAGATATGTAAGAAGTTAGCATGCTCAATGAGCTGCAGACCTCTGATTTGTGGCGATGTTACTTATGTCTTCACAGAAGCGTGTCAAATTAGTTTCCTTTGGCAACACCAGAGGATGCGATAGTTCTTGTTTCTTTGTTTTCGAGCAGAGCTACATTGGGCTACCTGTTGTGTCCCACCAGGTGAAGCTTTAGTTCTATCTGCTTCATAAGATGGCGAGCTAGTTTCTTATAAGTTTGTTTGAAGTTAAGCACAAAGCTACACAATGGGTTATCTGTGCTCTGCCCACCACTGGTATCGAAACCCCGGTTTCTAGCGTTGTAAGTCTGCAGACATACCGCTGTGCCACTGGGGGGCAGTTTCTTATAAGGTCGCCACAGATAGCGATAGTTCGATGTAGATATCTGTTTCAGCATTTTAGTTTGATTATTTCTCATAAGCAGTGTTTTTGAGCAATTACTTATCTATTGAGTATACTTAAATGTGGCTTTTTCTGTGTTATGAGAGACGGGTTAGACACAAATTAATAAGATAATCAACTAATGAAAATTTACATTGCAGTCAAAAGACATCTCGCCTCCCAGTGGCACAGCGGTATGTCTGCGGACTTACAACGCTAGAAACCAGGTTTCGATATCCGTGGTGGGCAGAGCACAGATAGCCCATTGTGTAGCTTTGTTCTTAATTACAAACAAAAGACATCTCACATCTGTACAATTAAAATACGTCATCAATCATGTTATATTATTTCACCAGCTGGTAGGAATATATAGATCTATTACTAAACACACTCTAGTGGTCCTTTACTAAAATTTCAGTCTCCTCTTAGCAACATAGAACGTTTGATTCCTCTAGTTATATTATAAATAACTGTCTCGCACTCTGGTGGCACAAAAGCGAACTAACCTCATACGATGATGCTATGAGTCATGAGACCTCAAATAGCCAATCAAAGCTCTGTTGCTCAACTGGCATGTTAACTGCTTGTATAATCTCAGGTTGACATCACCATTTTTATCAGAAACTTGTTAAAATGGAAATTGAGATGTTGAGCAGTAGCACGTAATCACAATCGTCAAGGATAAAATAGTTTTAGAACAGGACTAGAAAATCGCTCTTATGAACCTCGTTAAGAACAGTATATAAGTGAACACATAAACAGAGGATAAAAATAATATAACTAAAAAAGTTAAAGTATTATAGACAAAGCAAGCTTCTAAGTTCAGGAAAAGATGGAAGCCTTTATTCTTTTGATTTAGACCAGCATCAAAATGACAACAAAGTTTTCTAATCCTTGTGTTTTATCATCAGCTCTAATCACAATGTGGAAACTGTAAGCCCTTGCAGCTAGGATGTACTCTGACAGCACTTGGTTTATGCTAAGCCAGATATATTTTTTCGATATTATGAAGTTGTGCTCTTTTGTTATAATAAGCATATCGTAAACTTTTGTAATATACAACAAATAAATATAGAACTTTATATTATTTTATATAGTCACCGCTCCTGAAAATGGTGTAAGCTATTGGTTTACTTTTTTTTTAAACAACAATAGTTTGATGAAAGTTTTTTTTTTCATCTAATAGTTCCGTAGCGTGCTGTTGGAAATTTTCAATATTTTCAAGCCCGTAACTAATGATATGAAGATTTGTATTAAAAGGTAAATGTACGCGATAGAGTTCGTTTGTAGTTTTTAAAATGTGGCCATAGATATGATACATTTCCTGTTTCTACTTGGGCTGACTATCTAATTGTTGGGTTGATGACATGTCCCAAATATGTTTCCACACACCATTTGTTTTGTGACTTGTATAAGAGTAAAAGGAATTTACCATGCAGTAGTTCGTTGAATCCTTCTGTGCAGTTTTTACGATATAAGTATGTTTGTTCAGCCAACAAAATTGTGTTACTTCAGTGTTTTCATAAACATTGATTAGGAGGCAGGAAATTCACAACTGGTGGAGAATGGAAGCACTAAGTGTAACGGAAGCTGCACCTGTTCTGACTATAAAGGTATTAATAACGTCATAGTCGTTAATCAGATGAATTAGGATGACTCGTGACTTAACATATTATGATTATTTACTAAATTTTACAGAGAAATTAAAATATTATCTAATGCCCCTGTACAGGTTTCCAGTAGCAAGATTATAATGCCATTTCATCCGCACGTTTTACGTGTTCAGGATGCCTTTCGCCAGAAGTCACCAGGTCTGCTGGGTTTACAGCTCCGTCGACAGATGTGATAAAAGGTATTTTCTAAATCAGTGATCCGAATAGCGTTTCGACAAAGGCTTTGTGTGTTGTAAACCCAGCTGGCTGGATAAGTTCGAGTACTGAGCAAGAAGCCTATTCGGCAGAGGTGTGCATCACTGTGGTTGAGATGCTATTTTACTCTTCCCTTACAGAGCTAGAAAGGAAGATGAGATAAAAATTATAATCATAATTATTCTTATGTAATGTCGCATAGACTGCTATAAAACTATCACCGTCGTTACAGGACAATTTCGTAACAATAATTATTGTTTGTTATTGAGCACAAAGCTACACAAAGGACTATCTGTGCTCTGCCCACCACGGGTGTCAAAACCCGGTTTCTAGCGTTGTAAGTCCGCAGACGTACCTTAACAAAAGCTGTTAAATTAATTAAGTTTTATTTTGAACCTAGCGTGTGCAGTACCTAAGCTAGCAGAGCATAACATTCAGTTGTGAAATATGCGTGACACTGTATCACAATAAAAGTGATTATAAATAGCTTTTAATTAAGACTATGTAGTGGTTATCCAACCGACCTGGTAAGCTTTGAAAATGAGAAAAAACTGTCGGCAGAGACATATATTCAGATATAATTGAAATATTGTAATATAGTATTTCTACTGACTTGTATTGAACTTAAGTATAGTTGAAATTATGTTATAACTGTTTCTACTGAAAACGTGTATCGGGCCAGTAAAGATTGACGTTATTTAAATTAGTCAGCCCCCCTTCCCACATCTACCTTAATAAAACAGATACACGACAAATAATACTCACAAAGTGTTAGACATGTTGATGAAGTTTTATATCTTTGCTTCTTTGAATATTAAAGTTTTCGAACAATACACCAATTTGACCAAATGATTAACTCTGAAGTCTTAGGGTTACGAAGAAAATAGAACTTAGTAAACGATCTCTTAAACTACATAAAACCTAT